GCATAGAATATACACTCCCAGGGTAACTAGTATTTTATCCTCGTAATGAGACCCAAACATTTAATTTGGAACGAAAGACAACTTTCAAGCATGCCATCTTCATGTATTAAATCACTACGCTACTCTGATTCACAATGCTCATTGTCAGTAATTACGAATTCTGGCATACAAGCAATACACTGATCTAGTGTCTACATCGTTCGATAGATTGCAATAGAATAATTAAAATCTACTCAAACCGTTTGAATTTCGATTAGTTTTGCCGCGCTTTGAAAGCACGATAAAATTAACACGGTCAATCGGAGGGTTGATTTTTTTGAGATTGAGATTATTTTTTTGTTTACAATATTGAACCAGCGAATAAATCGATCTATCGAATCACGTAGTCACCAAATCCGTCTATAGCGGTGGCTCGGATGCCCGGTGCCAGGCGAGGCGAGACTCAGTACCGTGCGCAGTGCCCAAAAAACCCAGTTCAAATAGCGTCGCGGCGCAAGGTATTATTACGAAACGTCGCACCGCGCCGCGTCGGGACTCAGACGTCGCGACGCGTCGAGGGCTCTGGCCAACAACAGCTGATCGTGGGCTCAAGTCGCCTGCTTGCATGGACGGTCACGCGTTGCGCGTTGGGCGTCATTCTGCATCTACACGTCATGTTCATCGTGCCGTACTGCCGTCACGCCGCCGCGCCGGTGCATATCCATTTTTAAACGCTCTTGAGGTGGGCACTGTCACTTGGTCGCGACCTGGCAACTCACAAATGCACCATCAACACCCATGGATCCGATAAAGCACAGCCGAACGGGCCATTGGGAAAGGTCAGACACCGTGACGTGACGTGGTTTGCGATATATCGATCGATCCGCCATTTTAAACCATGGCAAAGGATCGATAAACAGGGTGTCCGCAACGAGCACATAAATAATTAATTCTTTAGCGCTGTCTCCACTCGTCAAAATGGCGTCAAATGGAAGCTCAAAGTGAATCGATTTCAACGATAAGTCGTTGCGATAAGTGGCTCAAAGTCGGGACTTGATGCGATTGATGAGTGTTGCAACTCAAAATAGAGCGGCGCGACCCATTTTTGATCAACAATCGCGAACAGATCATATTTATCGATTTGCTTTGAGCTTCCATTTTGACAAGTGGACACAGGGCTCTTACCATAGCTTTTAATGGGGGAAATGTCGATAATCGATCTTTCACGCCACGCCACTGATTCGGATATGAAATTCGTGTCAAAACCTGTCAAAAAAATATGGCAAATTGTTTTCCGCGTGTGTAGAATCGGAGGAATGTCTGAGGAAACATCTTCCAGGTGACACGGTGAATGCAGAGTGCGGTTGATGAAATAACAGAGGCGGATCTAGCAATTTGGCAACACCGGATTTCTCCCATTTAAACCTATGCTAAATAATCGATTATTGTCGGAGCACATGACCCCTCGAAGTGTCGATACATTTCCATAAATTTGAATGGAGAAAGTACGATGTTGCCAATTTGCTAGATCCGCCAATGTAAAAGAAATCCAAGGATTAAGATTTCTCACAATTGGACGTACAAGCCTTGGCGGAGGGGCCTCCTCCAAATTTAAATGTATGTAAAACAATCGATCCTTCGTATGGCAGCTTACCTCGCCTAATATCGATTTTGTAATGGATGTAAATTGAAGAAAAACAGTGTTGCCAACTAGCAAAATTGCTTTGTTAATGTAGGGCTATCGCGAGTCCTCATCAGCGATCCAAGACCTCGTAGATATTGATTTGAGCTCCTCAAACACAGCAAGAATAAAGTGAGAACACTTTATTCCTGGTGTGTTTGAGGAGCCTCATAGGCTTGATGTCAGAAATAGATCCACGCGGAGTGCCAAAACTGGTTCGACCTAGTCATGAATCGTGACTGAATCAAGTTGCATAAAGTTCAACTAATGCTTTGAGCTTTCGTGCTTATGCAGTCGTAAAAATTCGCCATCGCTATTGCACCTACAGTAATTATTCAAGCTACATGCTCAGCACCAGACGTGCATGATTCAATGCGAGTGGCGAGCGACTTGAATATCGGTTGCCATGTGATGAGATAAACAAAATGATCCCGGCGGCAACGCAACGGTTAGGGATGCATAAAAAGACGCTGAATACGGATTGTTATGCATATCGGAACACACATGTAAAAACTGGAAGGCCTTTTGTAAAAAAAAAAAGACACGAAATGTAATAATAAAAAAAAATCCAGGGGAAATCCGCAAGGAACAAAAATTAAATTAAAAAAACCCGGTACGGTCAAAATTATTTTATAGCCTCATTTCCGACCGGCATATCAAAACTTAAAAACTACTTTAAACCCATTTTAGAGAATTTAAATTTGCCAGTTGAAAATGTGGTCATAGCGTATTTCGAAAATTTTGGTTTTTATTTAAATTTTTGTTTTGTTTTTTGCAGTCATTCCCCGGATAAGTGTGTTTTTGGCTGGTGAAATATATTTTTAAATGACAGAGGCGGCATGGACGGAAAAATAGGAATGTTTATAGGGAAGGTTGCATACCTCTTTTTTGCATCTCATGAAATCCCCCAAGCTTTGGGAATGGAGTATCTCCCCTCGAAAAAATAAATCGTCTTAGGCTCATTTCCTTCGAAATCTTTTTTTCCTGGAAAAATATCTATTATTATATAGATGGTGACAGAAACTCGTAGATTAAGAGAGGGGAAGGCGAAAAAAACAATAAAGAACCTCAGGATTTGGATTTATAATCAAGTTATAGTTATCAAGCAGAAGGGACGGGTATTCAAACGTGGCGTAGAGCGGTGACTTTACCTCACTCACGGTTCGCCTTTAGTTTTCAGTGTAGGCAACACGAGCTTCCACGTGGTCATATAGTGGTATCGCTCTCAAATGTCACGATTACTCGAGGAAGAAAGCATGGAGGATTCACCGAGCCTGTGATACCTCACGCATTCCGGAGAGTTCAAATAGTTGTATCATGGCGCCGTAAGAATGTGACGGACGATTGAAATGGAGATAGCCTCCATGGACGCTGGGCTTGTCGATTTCCTCTGCAATTTTTTCAGTGGTGAATGCATATAGCTGAAGCGCGCTTCAGCTAGAATTGTATTTACAAATGGGTGGTTTTTCTACGAGGATTAAAAATAAACAAGTGGCACGGAATGTAACAAAAGAACATGAACTATGCAAAACGATAATCCGGGTATTGGAACTTGGCTGATTTGAAATCGCCTTCAAATCCGGCGTGATACCTCACACATTCCGGAGAGTTCAAATAGTTGTATCATTGCGCCTTAGAAATACGACGGAAGATTACAATTGAAATAGCCTTCATGCACGCTGGCCTTTTCGATTTCCGTTAGCATTTTTGCAGTCGTGAATGCGCTTAAGTGCGCTTCAGCTAGAATTGTATTTAGGAAACGGGTGGTTTTTCTACGAGGATTAAAAATAAACGAGTGGTACGGAATACAACAAAAGAATATGAACTATGCGAATCGATAATCCGGGTATCGGAACTTGGCTGTTATGAAAACGCCTTCAAATGCGGCGTGATACCTCACGCATTCCGGAGAGTTCAAATAGTTGTATCATTGCGCCGTAAGAATGTGACGGAAGATTGAAATTGAAATAGCCTCCATGCACGCTGGGTATGTCGATTTCCTTTGACATTTTTGCAGTTGTGAATGCATAGCTGAAGTGCGCTCCAGCTAGAATTGTATTTAGCAAATGAGTGGTTTTTCTACAAGGATTAAAAATAAACGAGTGGTACGGAATATAACAAAAGAATATGACTTATGCAAAACGATTATTCCGATAACGTAACTTGGCTGTTTTGAAAACGCCTTCAAATGCGGCGTGATACCTCACGCATTCCGGAGAGTTCAAATAGTTGTAGGTATCATTGCGCCGTAAGAATGTGACGGTAGATTGAAATGGAAATAGCCTTCCTTCATGCAGGCTTGTCACATCCCATCTCGGGCCCTGGTACCAGTTTTAAGGTCCGGGCCCCAAGCACAGAGGGGGGGGGGTCCGAGGGGCATCCTCCGAGAAATTGTAGAATTTGTACGACTAATCGGACGCATTTTGAAGCTTCCATAAAGAATTTTTCCATCAATTTCCAATCAAGCCACTCTAGGGAGAGGGTCAAAAAGTCGCCGAAAATACCCATTAAGTACATAGTACACTAATGACTCCTACATTGTGACGATATGGCACTGTCTGACCCGAAGAGAGGTTGATTAATACCTCAGTTGTTACAAGCAAAAGAAGTATGAAATGATACAGTTCATAAGTTAACTGATAATTTAATCACTTCCCCGGTTCAATTGAAGCTGCAACGTCCTTTCGTAACGTAAGGACGAGGACGTAACTACTCCTCGCGATGAACCCTGTCCTCCGTATAATCCAATGCTTACCCGGTCTCATCTATAAGTGTAGGTTTGGTTTTTTGTCAGCGGAGCGACGCACAGTGTATCGAGTCAATTAGAAAGGTCGGTCATGAAATTTTTGACTAAAACGGCAAGTTCTGATGTTTATTTCGTCCCATTTTAAACTGTAAAGGGTGATTCTAGATGACAATTTCACGAGGAAACCGATGGAACCACTTTCAGAACCTCAAAGTTTTCTATAAACGGAGTTAAAAACGCTTTAAGTTTCCAATTTTTTTCCGGCCTTTCCTATTGACTTGATCCATTGTGCGGCGGCGATTTCCCCTCCTGGTGAGCGACCGCGTCGCGGCAACTCTCTCCCACCTCGGTTGCCACTCGAGCTGGAGCTGCCCGTGGTTGCCGGGGCGTGCAGCTCCTACCGGGGCGCCACAATCGCTGCTCCAGGACCCGTGGCAACCAGGGCGAGCAACCGGCAACCACGGTCGCCGTCGACTCGCATCGTTGCCGCGGCATTCGGGTCTCTTCGACCGCGTTGCTCGCCTCCTTGCCGCTTCAACGCCACTCGACAACCCGGTCGCCACATCGATCGCCCCTCACTCCGTACATCTGCGTTTCCACTCAGTACCGGCTCGACCTTGGTTTCGCCTCTGTGTTGCTTCCACGCCAAACGGTTTCTTTAGTTTCAACGCAAATTTCTTCTCGCCTTTCAACTATAGTCAGTTTCGCCAAGTTTGATAAGCATCCGGGCAAAGTCACGTTGGATCAGTTTTCACCGGGTTCGATTAATTGTTAGTTCTTCCGTTTGCTAGCCATCGCCCGGAACGTTAGCAATTTGACGAAGTAGCTCCGTCCTATTTGACGTAGCGAAAGAGTCCTGATTAAAAGTCTGTATTGTATTTTCTATTTCTGATTGAAATCCATCGGTATTCAATTGTTTTAATTAACGTGATTTAATAACGCCAGACGTGAAATTTCCTTCCGGTTTCTTTAGTTTCAACGCAAATTTCTCTTCGCCTTACAACTCAAGTTTGTTTCGCTCTGTTCGATGAGTATCCGGGCGAAGTCACGCGTACTTTGAATCAGTTTTCGCCGGGTTCGATGAGCCACAGCAGTTTGATAGTTCTTCCTTTTTATAGCCACCACCCGTAACGTTAGCAATTTGACGAACTCGTTCCGTCCAATTTGACGTCGCAAAAGATTCCTGATTCACACACTGTATTTTCTATTTCCAATTAAACTCCATCGGTATTCAATTGATTTAATCACTCAAGACACAATTAAATACACCGGTACCGGTGTTTCGGTAGTTAAGCTAAACCACCTTTGCGTCGAATGGATAATGAACCTCCAGGTGGAAATTCCAAGACTTGAAGCTTAGTTGGGTATTTCTCCTCGGTTCTTCGGTCTTCAGGTTCGATAAAAGTAGCGTCGGCACCATTCCGTCGACGACGAGGATGTCGACGCCTGAGCGGCCGCGCTACAAGCGCAAGTTCGGCGGTTTCGTCCTGCCCAAGTGGAACGACGCGCAGACGGCCAAGTTCTTCCGACTGTACGAGAAGCACCGCTGCCTGTGGGACATGCGGGACCCGGACTACCGGAACATGGAGGTGCGGGCGCAGGCCTACCAGGACATGGTCCTCAAGATGGGCATGAACTGCAGCGAGGAGATCATCAAGCGGAAGATCAAGAACATCCGCACCATCTACGCGCGGGAGCTCAAGGAGGTGAAGCGCACCAGGAAGGCCGGCTGCCCGGACCGCGCCTACGTGCCCACCCTCAGCTGGTACCACGAGGCGGACCGCTTCTTGAGGAATATCGTCAGCGAGAGACCATGCAGGCACGATGAGGTGAGTCCGAGTAAGTGCAAGGGTGAGATAGACTAACGTAAGTCGAACTTGGGAAGACGCGCGGACGGCCATCAGGGATGGCAAGGAACTCGGCGAAGCGAACGTGAGATGTATGGAGAAAAGCCTCGCATCTTTGGTGGCCGTCTAGGTACATGTTTTTCCACGCAACGCTGATAAGGGTTGCAATGGCATGACGCGGGCAGGCTGAGGAGTTAACACACTCTTGACCGGATGGGGGACCCAGGGCGTAACGCGGTAAGGAGCTTTTGCTCCATTGAGTTCAGCTGGGGCTTCGGTGGAAGAGCCCCATTACGGCATTTTTGTCGAGCAGCCACAGAGGGCCCAATCAGCTGGTTGTAGTGCGTGGGTAAAACTAGAGGAATTTCGAGGGGGGGGGGCACTCCTCCCATTCAGAAATTTACGTAGTCCCTTCAAGAAAGCGCGGAGGTAGTAAGAAGAAAAGAAAAATGCGACCTATCACTCATCTTTGGAATTGTATTTCAATCAATTTTTCGCTCAAAACTGCTCCTGACACCACTTTGTTTTTCAAAGTTTTCCCGGGAAAGCTCCCCGACCGGACGGCATTTGCCCGCAAACCCCCAAAACCCACATTTTTAGCTTAAATCGGCCGTTAGATCCACGCGCTTAGGCCAGAATTAAACCAGAAGAGAAATCGACAATGACCGCAGATTTTTTCCCCCCTTTTTTTATGTTGCACCAACTACCCAGATGCATTCCGAAAAATATAGACGCTCAATGAGGAAAAAATTGTCGAGTTGAGTACTATCAGAGTGGGCCCAAAACGAGCTTCTTATCGATACAATACACTTTTTACTATCAATGAAAATCTCTCAGGGGTGGATATTGTACCATAGCAAGTGAAATCAGCATTTCTGTTACGGCACTTGCAAGTGAATTTGCACAGGTTATCACGTTGATTTCCATGGTTGCAATCAATTTTTTCACGTTAAAATAGTCCAAATTTCGAATTATTTTTACGATTTTTTTTTAAACTTATGAGTCAAAATTACGTGTTGCCTTCTAGTATTTCACAGTCGATGGAGAAAAGTTAAAATTTTATGTGGAAGTTAGGGTCAAGTCAACTCTATGGGAACCTCAGCCAGCGCCACACTTGAGCCATGGGTAAAACAAGTACAATTTATTTCTCATCGACTTTTTCTTCATTTCCTTCATGCGTCCATCTACGTAACCAAAAAATTAATGACAACAGTTGCCAAGAAACAGTGGATCTTTATTTTGCATCAATACCGTCCGCCGTACGGTGGATCGAGTCAATATGAGAGGTTGGACAAAATTTGAAAACCTTAAACGCTCATAACTTCGTTCGTACAAAACTTTAAGGTTCTAAAAGTGATTTCATTGGTTCCCTCGTAAAATTCACCTCTAGAAGCACCTTTTAAAGTTGAAAATATGATGAAATAAATATCAAAATGCAGTTTTAGTCAAAAAGTTCATGTCCGACCTCTTGAATTGACTCGAACCACTGTGCGCCGCATCGTGTAAGCAGGCGTGCACATTCACACCGTATGAGAAGAACAGTACTACTTAACTTCAGTCCAAAAAATTAGTCTAAAAATAGCGGTCGTACATGTTTTATCATTCACTCGAAATGCATCAGCATTAGACTTTTGCCAAAAAAGGGAAGAGGGAGGAGGAAAAAAATTTAATGAGGTATTCTGAAAGGGTCCTGGGTCCTCATCCCCCCTGCCACCTCATATCCTCACTTGTGACGTCACTTATTACCTTTACTAATTCCCAACCGATAGGCGCTGTCATGAAGGATATCTGAAGTTTCAATTGTGCGTTTTTGAATCAAGAAGAATCATCTCCATTGTGACTTTGGACACTGAGACCCATGAAAATGCGTGCATAACAGGGCCCATGTCACAACGGGAATGTTTACTTTTGATTTCTAAACGTCCAATTTTGACCAAAATGTGTCCAAGTTTTGCCTATGGCGAGAATGAGGGGGGCATGAGCCACATAGTGCGGAGCTCTAGAGTTTTAAAATGCTCTTAATGAAATAAGACACCTTAAACTAAATTTGGAACATTTTTCAGGGATCAATTTCTAAAAATTCACGCGGAAACTGCTCTGTGCTGTAATTCATTTTAAGGAGAACACTCCGCAATTTCTTAGTAGGGTAAAGTGGTTTTTTGTGAAGAAAATGGTGATTTTAGACCGTAGGCAGATCTCAGATTTCGCCTGCAAAATCGAGCGTATGCAACCCAGCCTACCGCAAAGTTAAAATAGTTGCATATTAGGTTTGAACCCAACTTCGTGTATCCTTTCATCGTTCTTCGCGGCATCGTATGTATTACCACGATGGATGACATCTTAGGTCGTATTGGACATGGAAACTCCAAGTTCGGGCACATTTTATTATGTTTCCCTGATTCATAAGCTAAAATCGTCAAAATACGATTAGCGCATTTATTTTTTATTTTTTTTTACTACCTTTTCATTTACCACACAAGTGACAATCCTGTGCTTCCAGTTCGAGCTACATTCCCCTCAGTTCCCACCATACAACCAGCTCGAGACAGCCGTTGTTTGAGGCCATCAAACTCGGGTCGCCTAGCCAGGAATCGAACCCGACACCTCTTGATTATAGAGCAAACGTTACAACTACCACACCACAGGAAACCGATGCACAGTGGATTGAGTCAATTAGAGAGATCTCACACGAAATGTTCGACTAAAACTGCAAATTTTGATGTTTATTTCGTCACATTTAAAATTTAGAGGGATGCTTCTAGATGAGAATTTTACGAGGAAACCAATGGTACCACCTCTAGAACCTCAAATTTTTGTATAAACGGAATTATTAGCGTTTAAAGTTTCAGCATCTTGTCCTACCTCTCCTATTGACTCGATCCACTGCACTGCCGTGCTAAGGAAGAACGCCGTATGAGCATTGAAGAGTTGTCAAATTTCCTTCGATAAAATGTTCATTTTTTAGGAAAGTTATGGGTATTTTCTCTTGAAATTTTCAGAACTTTTCGGTGGAATTGCGAGCAAAATTATCTGAAAAATTCGAAGAAAAATATTCACAGGCTTACCAGGAAATTCGTGTTTCATCAAAGGCAATTGGCAACGTCTGAAAGTTCATACGGCGTTCTTCCTCATGGCCTGGTTACACGCTCAAATTTTTGTCAAATTCCGATCAAAATGATGACCAAGATGGCGGTCGAGAGTTATCTAGATTGATGAGTAAAATTAATTGAAACAGCGTGTTGATTGAAATAAGCATGAAATAAGCGCGGTTGTGTGGATATCAGATGAAAAATGAACCCCACAGTTCCATCATCTACCATCAAATTTTTGCAGGCTGCAGAAATTTGATGGTAGATGGTGGGCACAAGTCACCATTTGATCGGAAATTGATGAGAATTTGAGCGTGTAACCAGCAAATTAGTAAGGCAGTACGCGACGCTGAGCCATCAAAATGTAGTTGGTTAACGTTGTTTCCTTTTGCGTTTGCAGGACGACCAGACGCAAGAAGCGACGGAGCATCAGGAGGAGTCGATGGACGACGGACAAGGGGACTGTCTGCCCTCGGAGCTTTTGGAGGGCGAGATGATCGAGGAGGAGGACGAGTTGGAGGAGTACGAGCCAGCGATGAGGCAGCAGACCCCTTTGCGACTTGGGAGTAGCCTCAGTCACCACAGCCACGGCATCCGATCCCAGAGGCGCTCTAAGCTCCACCCTCGCCGCGGCCCATCCAGACTGGCGCGCCCCTCCAGCTCAACCGTCGCCCAAAAAGCCCTCTCCAGGATCTCGCAAATTACCAATACCTCCAATCAGGTAATGCATCTCAACATTCTTCTCCGTGACGGTAAAAAAAACGCTTTCCAGCCACAGTGGAAACGAGAGGTAGATTTCGACAAATCGTTTCTATGAAAACAATTGCGCCTAATGAGCCTGACAGGTCGGAAAATCGTCCCCCTTGAACTTGAGATTTTCCGGATAAGGGGTGGTTTTAGAAGGTAGGTGAATATAGGTTGTTTTGAAGGCCACGACGAGACGAGTGTTTTGACGTATCACCGACTAAGATCGGACGAATTTGAAAAATCATCGCCATTTGGACTTGAGATTTTCCGGATAAGGGGTGGTTTTAGAGGGTAGGTGAATATGGTAAAAAAACTTTCGAAGAATTAAAGGCATTTTTTAAAAATTTACAGTCCTTGAAAATGAGCTGAATGTGTCATGTCACGGAGCAAAGTGCCCTACTTTTGGGCCTCGTAATCCCTTGAATTTTGAGTTGAGTCCAAAGATCTTTTAGGAACTTAAATTAATGACCCAGGTGATGTGCTTGATGCACTTTTTTAAAGAATTAAAGGTATTTTTCAAAATTTACAGTCCCTCAAAATGAGCTTTCCGTGTGATTTTGCTGAAAATGGACCTTTAACCCAATTTGATCCTAGCCCCCCCCCAAATTTTAGCGTACCCCAAAATCGTTTGACGCGCATAAGGAGACCATAGATATGGTGTTCTGTGCCAATTTTGAATGAAATCTAACAGATAGATTCTGAGATATCGCTGTAAACAGATTTGGGGGACGTCGGACGGACGGACACACATTTTTTCAAGTATGGTTATTTTGACTCCTGGGACCTTAAAACGTCCAGAAATGATGAACTTTCAACTTTTTTTCTTTTTTTTCTTGAAGGATGATAATACTTCCTCTCTACCCTAGGGGAGCGAGAAAATAAAAATCGTTTGACGTGCATAGGGAGACCATAGATATCGACGGCGTAAGTCCGCAATCACATATCTCGTTGGCGTTGTCCGAAAATCTCCGCCTCTATGTTATTTTCTTAAAGGAGAACAAATTGATATCGTCGGACGAAATTTTTTTCAGAATTTTCTTCGCTCAAAGGAGAAAAATCACGGCAGTTTTAAAGAATTGCCGTTGAGTAGTTTTCCGTTTAAAAAATAAAGTATGACAGGAAGTCTGCGACGTCGCAAACCGAGTTATGTGATTGCCGACTTACACCGTCGATATTCTCTTTTGATACACATTATTTTTTTTTCATCAATTTAAAAGAGAATAATCCATGTAGAGTGCAAACATTTCAAAATCATGAATTGAAAAACGCTGACTCTGTGAGTTTAAATATTAGAGCCAAACAGAGCGAAGCGGCGCGGCCAGCACGCCTCTGGCGCCTACAAACCTAAGTGGGTACTTCACGCATTGCGCAATGCTTGAAGTATCCACTTAGGTTTGTAGGCGCGTTTCGCGCTGGCCGCCCGCTCGCCGTAACTATTTCACAAATTATGTGTTACACAGTATCATACGAAATTGAAGGCGCTCCAACATATTAATAATAACAATGTAGTTTTAAAAAATAAAGTATGACAGGAAGTCTGCGACGTCGCAAACCGAGTTATGCGATTGCCGACTTATTACACCGTAGATATGGTCTTCCATGCAAATTTTGAATGAAATTGAACGGATAGATTCTGAGATATGGCTGTGCACAGATTTGGGGGACGCCTAACGGACGGACACGCATTTTTTCATGGATGGTTATTTTGACTCCAGGGACCTTAAAACGTCTAGAAATGATGGAATTTAACTTTTTTTTCTTTCTTGAACGATGACAATACTTCCTCTATCCGCGAGGGAAGCGAGAAAGTAAAAATTGTGAGTCTAGGCCAGAGATCTTTTAGGAACTTTAAGAAACGACACTGGTGGGTGATGCTTGATGCCAATTTTCGAAGAATGGAAAATTTGCACACAAAAATTTTATGCTTCATCTGAGAGTGCCTAATGAGCTGATATCGCAGTATTTTTTGTATTTTTTTCTGACGTGGAGAACTGAGGAAAATTGATTTAAAAGTGAGGAAATGTGCCGCCTTATGCCGTCATCTGACGGCATTTTCCATTCAGAAACCAAGGCTATCCTCGCACTCAGTTATCCTAGTAGTATCATTTTAAAGACGAAGTTCACAAAGTTTAAGACACCTGCAAATTCTCTATGAAAGGTATTCGTTTAAAGTTTAATGCCATTCTAAGACAGCTCGCGGTGTGAATTTTGGAAATTTGCCCAGAATTTGGGTCATATTTCCAAAATCTGAGTAGAGTGGGCTGATCTAGTGACTATCACCTATCGATAACCGCGAAAATCATGGAACTCTGCTCAGTGAAACGATGGAACGAATTGTGACAAAAAAGGACCGTTTTATCTTAAGCATGTTACGCACCACCAGATTCTGAAAACACGTCCTCAGGGTGAAGTTATTATTTTGCTGGGCCCAACATCAGAAATCCTGATTCCTCATCACCGAAAAAATGTAAAGCGTGAATTTTATTTAGAGGGGACCGGGGGGGGGGGGGTTTGGAGTGTCGAGGCAAATATTAAGTTCTTATTTTAAGGGTATCTGGACCAGCGTTACGATGGCATGGCGTAACAAGGGATGAGTGCGTATCAAAATATCAGGAAAATCGCGTCGCGCAATTCACAGACAGCCCTTTGTGGTTTTTCCACGATGTTCTAATGGCCCAGAGTGGCATGAAACGTATAAGAAAGAAACGAAAGATTGGAAATTTCAGTGAAATATTTCACGAATTTTCACAAGGCTGAAATATTTCATATTTTTCAGAGGCTAAAGTATGCAACCCGCACTCAAACGCCCCAAAATAGAAGAAAATCACAATTTTTACATTTTGCGAAACATAAAAAGTAACTCGTATTTTTCAATATCTTTCATAAATTTCTAAAATGTCATGAAGTATTTCAGGTTAAATTTCAATATTTTATCTCTCATGAAATTTTACCACCCTGTAACGGTCAGATGTGCGTTTGTTACAGATGGACGACGAGTTCGCGATGTTCGGGAAATTGGTCTCCTCGCAGCTCCGCTCGATGCCGCTGGAGCGAGCCATCGTCGCGCAGAGTAAAATCCTGACGTTGCTCACGGAGGAGCGGGTCCAGTGGCTCTCCGAAGTGGAGCAGGAGAAGCATGTCAGCACCATCGTCCACATCGGTGGTGACGGCCACGAGTACATGGAGCTCCACCAGGAGGAGAGCCAAGAACACGAAGAGCAGGAGGAAACCAGCCAATTGTAGTAGCTCCGCCATACCATCCCAAATTGGAGGTCCTTCATGCGTCAGGGATTTATGTTTTAAGTACTTTTTCTAATGTCAAACTTCGCGAGGAACACGATCGTGCCATTGATTTCCTAGAGCCGAACTCCAAAGCTCTAAAAAATGAGGTCATTGTGGAGAAGATATTTCTCGCTATACCCTAAGAGTCAACCCTCAATATCCATTCAGATTTTCCACGCACAGATAGGGAGCAAATAAGATAGCAGGGAAGATGCCTTGGTTCCAATATTGGAGTCTCAAAGAAAGTGGCAACCCTCTGAATGTGTTTGCTCCATATCTTTGCGTGGATAGTTCAACTGGAAGAGGTGAACTCTCAGGGTAATGTGGGATTTTCCCTTCATTTCGACCTCAACTTTAAGAATTTTTTCCGAGCTTCGGAGTTCGTTTTAGAGACGCCATCGTGTTTCTTGCGAAATTTTACGAAAGGATCGCCTAAATCGCAAATCACTCACTCGTGCAAGAGCTCCATTGCCACAGGCTCATCGGGCACGATCAATGCACTTAAATAAGAGGGAGGTCCAAAGGTCGGTGCACATGATGGGGAAAAAACTGTGTAGAATGTGCCCAATATGACACCACAGAGAAGCAAAGTGTCAAATTTCGGATTTTTTTACCTAATTTTAAACGGAGGATCAAAAAGGCTTATACTTCCTCCTTTTTCCCTGACTATTGACACAGAATTGTATGCCCTCACTTCAAATTAGGCTTTCTCAAGAAAACGTGGTCGGCATACTCCCAGGTTTCTGCCTCGCTTCTTCGTCAATATTTGAGTAGAAACTTCCTCTTTTTGTGTGAAATTTAGAGATATCCGAAGAAATTCAAAGAACTTTGAATTTATATCAATTTTTACACGTCTGAAATTATGTTACGCGTACCAGTTTTAGTTTTGAAAAGAGAGTACACTATTTTTACCGTAAGATTCGCCTAATTTTCGACAAGGTAAATGATTTGGAAATTCGACATATTCTTCTTAAGTCTGTCAGTCCAAAAAGGTAATGTTTGTTTTTCGAGGTATCCTTCTTTTACAAGTAAACCCTATTTTTTTTTCAATCAAAGGAGGTTGCATTTTCATATTCTTCCTGAGAGTCTGATGAAGATATTTTTTTAAGTCTTAATTTACTATTTTCCTTTTAATTCCTCCGCTTAAGCACTTGTCTTGTCACTACACCGTGACATTGAGTTATCTATATCATTCAACTAAACCATATAACGGCAAGTTTCACCATTTTGTGAGTCCGTTGCTGTGTTATTTAATATTGCAAGCACGCAGAATTTATTTTTTGTATGATACATTGAATGTTGTGTCTTGTACATGAAATTTCTTGTGGATTTATGTTATTTTGTAAAATAATAAACTATTTTTATTATGTTCACTCAGGAGTTAAAATATTTTTAGATTCCTTTCCATGAGTCCAAGTACCAAAACAAGTATGCGAGACAAAAAGCTGTGTTATTAGTAGTAAAAAAAAAAAAAAAAAAAAAAAAAAAAAAAAACTAGGAGAGGAGTCATTGTTTTTCCCTTTATTTGGGGACATTTTAAGATATTTTAACAAGGTTGCACAAGTGAAATGAAACTTATGAATAATTGGAAATTTTCTTACAATATTGCATGAAACTTCACAAGTTTGTGAGAAATTAGAAACATATTTTTACGGGCTGGGTATGCAACACGCGCTAAAAAAAACACCAAAAAGCTAAATCTATTTAATTTTCCTTTAACTTCAGATTTTATTTCGAAAATATTTCTCAATAACTTTCACTGAAACATGAAATATTTCACATGTAATTTCAAGATTTAATTGTTCTGGAAAAATTGCTATCGCAGAATCGTGGGTTTTGGGCTTTTCCGTACATATTTACCTGTCTTCACTAGTTTTCTATTTGATGACTGGAAATTTTTCAAAGAAAAAAATTGATTCTATTGGAATTTACTTTATTTTAAGAACTTTTTACGGTGGCAAAATCCCTTCCCTCGGGCTCATTTTGAGTTCCTGTTCAATTTTTGGTGCAGGCACAAGCACCAGCGCGAGCATCTTCTCTGAATCAACCTGGCCAAAACTCGGTCAAGTCGTCTCCGGACAAGACTGCGTTATTGTCATGTCGCTCAGAAAAATAGATATCCGATTCTGGAATTGTACAATTAATGGAACGGCGCGGCAGTAGACGGAGGACTGACCGGGAAGGATCGCCGACCGCTGCTGCAACCAACTTTCACTGATCAAGCTCGCTCCATCTCAGCTGATGGTCCACCATCCGCCGACGTAACCGATTACCTTAAATCCCAATCGGCATCGATGCCAAACCGTCAGAAAATTAGTAATTTTTGAAGAATTTAAGAATAAAATCCGAATCTACAGTTTTCCATGTATGCCAAACTCAAAACTTAAAACTGAAAAACTGGTTGAAACGTATTTTGAAACTAAAATAGAATTACCTCTGATAGAAAGAACTCATTTTTGACGTAAAGATTTTAGTATTATTATTTAAGGGGAATGACTTTTTCAGTCATTCAAATACCTGGTTTTTTTATCATTCGTCATTAATGACGAAGTTGTAATTCTTAAGGTGGAAAAAAAACTGATTCCAATTAAAAACCATACCTTTCTCTAAAAAAAATCCTTGAGAAGATTTATTTTTTATCATTTGTCAGTGTTCATTAATTCCATTACAATTAGGTGAAATTATTTTAAAAAAGAGACTAACTAAAATATCCACGTCTATAAAATCCATTATGTCGCAAAAACTCATCGTTAAAAATTTATCTCAATAGTATATCGACGGTGAAACTACCAAACCACGGATCTCGGTTTGCGACGTCGCAGACTTCCTGTCATACTTCATTTTTTAAATGAAAAACTACTTAACATCCAGTCTTGAAAATTTCTGTGATTTTTCCTCTTTGTGCGGAGAATATTTCGTGAAAATTTCAAGGAATGATATTGATTTGGTCTACTTCAAAAAAATAAAATGTGAGCGTAGATTTTTAAACACCGCAAACGAGATACGTGGTTTGGTAGTTTCACCGTCGATATGTAAAATATGCCTGAAATGCATGGTATTTTTCATTTGAAGTTCGCACTGTTTTCCGCTACCTTAAAATAAAAACGTACAAAATACAAAATTATATGTAAAATACAAACGTTGATTTCATGATTGAATCATTGAGAAATTCAATATAACTGAGGTTAAGTTTTACATGTGAACGTTGATTTTTTTTTTTAAATTAATTTTTAATTCTGAACTTTTCGTTAAAGCTCAAATTAGCTTAATGTGCCATGACCTCACAATTTTTTGGCACTGACTTAAATAACGCTGACCACAGTGTCAGATAATTATTTTTAAAAAAAATGCTCCTTCAAATTTTACCAGTTATAATGATCCCTAAGCCTCATCGAAACCACCTACAAATATTTAAACCGTTCTGCGTATACACAATGAAATCATCTTTCTTAGTAAATTTGGTCATGAATCTATTTGTATCGACACAAGTGCTGCATATCGCAAAAATCCAGGCCGCTATTTGTGCGGGCAGAAATTTTCACGAGAAATGGGTCGAGGGATCTTAGAGGGAAACGTTCCTGAATATCCCTGAAAATTTTGTTTCCTTGAAAAATGTCGGATCATGGAGGAGAGGGTGTCCGCATGCGAATTTCCTGAGTTTTGTTGAAAAGACCATAAACTACCGCACGTGTAAAATACAAAATACAAGAACAGTCGCCACCGCTGTGTTGTGCATGATTATGCCTTATGAGATATTGAGACAAGAGGAGGCGGTATTTCGTCACCGAGTTTGGCACTCGGGGACGATGTCATATTGCGAACCTAATGCCTGTATCTCAAAAAAGAACTTGGTCACCAATTAGAACCCATGATCCGCTGAACTTTTTATGAGCACGCATGCAATATTAGCCTCTAATTAAAAAACTAATATGTTTTAATAACAAAACTATTCAACAGGTGATGCCAAGGCAAGGGCGACGTATTTTACCTAGCACCGGCCTCAAATTCGCCTTATTCATGTTGACTAAAGGTGTAACACCATTTTTACAGTCTTGGAAGGTATTGTTATGCAGTGTGATCCAAAAATCCCGCACCACCCTTTGAACTTGTTAATATATTGAAATAGAGATTTGATATTTTTTGAGAGTGCCTGTAGGTTGAAGAAAACTACTTTCGGAACGCCTCAAAATTTTGGGGAAATCACCTTGTAAGAGTTTGAGGTATACGGACCGCAACATTTTATTCTAACGCTAACCGCACTGTATGCTAAAAGAATCATTGAAATAACACAAAATATGAAATTTTTGTCCATTTGAAAGTCTCAATTTATTATATAGTTGCAAAATTGTAGACATTCAAAAATTTTGAGAAGCTCAACATCATCGGGCCACCGTTTCCGGTTGATGATAATTAGTGACCTCTGGTTTCCGCTAATAAGTTTCATTTTTCATTGTCTTTCCAAAGATGTCTCATCGAAAAGACTTTTTTTCTATGAAAAAGGAAAGCAAAAATCAACTCGTAGCCAACCCCTTCAGTTAGAACTTTATTCTCAGCAACCCTTAATGAGTGATACATCATCAGAAAGAGAGTAAAAAGAAGAAACTTTATAGTGAGAACCAGAGTTTTCTCAGAATTTTTCTTTTTCTTATCTAATCAGATACCTATGCACTATTTGCCTTAGTTCACATCGTTTGATCTATAGGAATTGTGAGATTGAATATAAATAATATACTTATAATGTAATGTGATATTCTATCACCAATCCTAAATAGTGTCCTGATAAATTTATAATTTGCAAAACTTTGATTGGCCCTTTGGAGCGATGATAGATGGAGACTTGCAACAGAATTCCACATGCTTTATGCTCTTTTTACTGATAAAGCACAATAGAGGTTTGCGATTCGAAAAACAGAAAGAAAAAAGAAGAAGAAGAAAATGTTTGTGTACGTGCTCCCGCTCACTTTCACTCCCTCCCCCTCCGAAAGTTTTGAGGGGGCCTAAACTAAATTTGTGGGCCAAGGACCTTTCTCAATTGGCTCAAAAGTTACAGAAGCTATGTGGAACTTTTGGATCACCGCGTATGAGCGACATTGCTCATCTGCAAGTAAAATTCCCAGCAATGCGACGAAATATCCAGTGTTCTTACCCCACGACCGCAACCTCAAAACCTCCCATGAGCACTAGTAATTTATCCGAACTTTGCCAAAACTGGCGCGAGGAATTTTAGAATCCTCGATGATTGGCACATCCTAAAAGAATGGATCGTTGATGTTGGATTGGCCATTGAGTTTAGTGAATTCGTCGGGTTCACGGCCTCAAGTCTGTGGTGGTCAGCACGGATGCTGGGTTCACCGACATTCGGGCCAAGGTTCGCGCTTGCTTTGTGCTTTGCGGTTAGCTGTGAAAGTATAAGAAAAATACGCTGCTCGTAAACAGGCGCATTGAACTTTCGACATTGTAAACCGAAACTCAATGTCACATTAAACGTCAAGCGCCACCGAAAAAAAATATTCTTGGATGTTAATCATTTCGATCGTTCCACCGGTGTCATTTGTATTAAACGCGCATTTCACCTTTTGCGAGACGAAACTTCCCACTTTGATGTGGCGATCGGGATACGTGTGGTGATAACTTTTAAAAAAAACGCACGTTTCTTACGTATGCAGATCATGAAGTGAGCGAGGGTGTGAGGTCTGGTCAAAAAATGAGTTCGTTCGATTTTGGGCCGATAAAAGTAATCGGAAAGAGTCCAGGTTCAGCAAAATTTGTGGAGCCCGGTTCAGAGTTCAGGTACAGGCTGTGAACCGGTCCGAAAGCATTTCAACTTAAAAATCAATACGCGGTAATCATGAGAGGAGTTTTATGATGCTCAGAAGATGAAAATTAACCGAAATACTGAAATCTACAGGTATCGAATTCTGTTGAGCACAAGATAGAGCAGCATCTTGAAGGAATGACGCGGCCGCTGTAAAATGTATAAAATTATGACCTCTGGAGAGGCAATCGATATTTGATTAAAGAAAGCTTCAGTTGAAAAAAGAAGAAAGAAAAAATTAATTGCACTCAAACTTCCTTCAATCCTCATTAACGTCTAACTTAACCCAGCGTCCAGGGTGATTCATTGGAAAAACAAATCTACTTCCACGTTAGGTTGAATAATTTAGCCTACATTTACCCGTAAATGTGTGTTCCTCAAGTTCCTTGATTTCAGATAATTTAGACTGAACAGAGCACCGGCACTTAGCGATTGAACCAATCATGCAAAAAAATTACCTAAAAAAAAATAAAAATATAAATAAAAAATAAATGAATGAATGAATGAATAAACGCGTCGTTGTGTGATTGAAGAATGAAGCAAGCATTATATACATGA